CGCGAAGCGCCGGCTCAGGCTGTGGCTGAAGGAGGCACCGCGGCGTGCCGCGGCTGCTGCGGCTGCGCTGGCGGGCCGGGAGGAATCGGCGACAGTGGCGCAACGAGACTCCGAGGGTCACTAGAAGGCGTTACTAGGGTCGCGCCGCGCCAGGGCGGGCAGCGAGGGAGGTCGAGGGGCGCCGGCCGCGGCGGGGTCTGGCGCGCGCCGCGCGCGGCTGGCTCACGCGCGCCGCGCGCGCGCGATTGCTCCCTCGCCATCGCGCGAGTCCACGCACGGACCATCGCGGACCACGCGATGGCGGTGATCGCTCCGCGGCGTCACCCGCATACAACGCAGCCTTGGCGCGGCGCTGCCCGTCGCGCCAAGAACGTGTCGGCGCTCGGCGAGTGCGCGGTTCGCCGCGCCGCAGCGCCATCACGCACCGAGGCTCTCGGCGAAGCAACCGAGTACTCCGTGCTCGCCCAAGCATGCGACTCGCCGGCGGAGACGCAGGGGCTATCCCGATGACCGCGCAAGCTCCGAGGCAGCCCGTAGCAGCCCCGCAGACGCTTGCGGCAGCCCGCCAGCGGCTGGTTGCGCGGCGCGGCGACGCCCCGCGCCCTCACAGCCGCACCTGACCCACAGATCGCCGAGGAACCGACGCAATGCGCTGTGTTTCGGCTCTTGACGCGGCCATGGCCGCTCCGAGGAGCTGGACTTAGGGGCCGCCAGCCTTGCACACCGGTATCCTTGCACGGATATACCCTTTTTGGCTGGCTCACGGACGACGCCAAAGAGGTATATCCAGGCGTCCAGCCTTTGGAGGCCATTCCTTCGATGTATATCCTTGAACAGCTATATCTGCCGCCACTGCGAGCTTCCCGCTCTAGAGGTACTTGCAGCAAGTTGCCGTCAGGCTAACTTTCAGGCTAGTCGCGCGCGGGCACCCGACGTGGCCGACGTCGTCACAGCTCGAGGAAGGAGAGCTCCGCGGCGACGCCGACGGACGTGCGCAGGTTGAGGACGGCGTGGCCCCAGTTGTTCGGGACGAAGAGGACGTCGCCCGCGCGCTGGACGCAGGTCCGCGCGCCCGGCGCGTCCTCGCGGAACGCGAAGAACGCGGGCGCCGTCGCGTAGGTCGCCTGCGCCGGCGGCGGCGTCGGCGGCGCGCGGCGCGACGTCGGCGCGGCGCGCGCGCGCGCCAGGGCGGCGCGAGGCGCCAGAGCTTGGCGCCGAAGGCGAGGCCGTTGATGGCCGCGCCGTGGAAGTGGGCCTGGGCAGGACAAGAGAGATTCAACGTCGCTTCAATGTGAGTGTTCCGCGCGCGCGCGTTCCGTAAAAAGCATCCACGCTTCGAGAGCGTTCCGAGAGATGATCGCTCGTCCAAAAATCAGCCGAAACGAGTGGAAAACGGCCGAGATATGAGGCTTTGAAGTTGGGAATTTCGCTCTCTTGTCCTGCCCTGAAGTGGGCCGGCGCGCCGGAGAGCGGCGGGCCGAGGTAGAACTGGGGCGCGGCGAGCGCGAAGGCTTCGCCGTAGGCGCCGAGCCAGGCCGGCAGGCCCTCCGGCGGCGGCAGGAGCGCCGCGACGAGGGCCTCGGCCGCGCCGCCGTTGCCGAAGACGTAGGCCGGCGGCGCCGCGGCGTCCGCGGACGCGTTCGCGAGGAACGCGGCGAGGCGCGCGGCGCCGCCGCGCG